TTTCTGAAGAAGGGTCTAGACCCGAAACGTCAGCCTTCCTACTCCTCTGATGCTGCTTGGCCTGCTGTGTTCATCCAGCTCTACACCTTGTTATCTCAGATTCTCCAGCATCTGCAGTTCCTACTATCTCTGAAACAATTCTTGCCAGTGTTTATATTCATTTGTCAATATATAGGTCGAGTAAATATATAGAAAGAGCTGAGTAAATAATTGCGCAAAAAGTTGATCTAATTCACATTTTTTTCGAGTAAAAACATATTCCTACCTGAGTTCCTTCCATTCATTTTTGTATTATTTACTCCTTCATGGGATATGGGTGTCACTGGTTTCTAGACTAGCATTTGTTACCCATCTCTACTTGACTGTAAAAAAGGGCATGAGAAAGGTGAGACAACAAGGTGCAGGGCTGGATGAACACAGCAGGCCAAGCAGCATCATAGGAGCAGAGAGGCTGACGTTTCGGGCCTAGACCCTTCATCAGAAAAGGGGGAGGGGAAGGGGGTTCTGAAATAAATAGGGAGAGAGTGGGAGGTGGATAGAAGGAGAGGAAACAAACAGGTCGAAGAGGCGGGGATGGGGCCAGTAAAGGTGAGTGTAGGTGGGGAGTTAGGAAGGGGATAGGTCAGTCCAGGGAGGACGGACAGGTCAAGGGGGCGGGATGAGGTTGGTCGGTAGGAGATAGAGGTGCGGCTTGAGGTAGGAGGAGGGGATAGGTGGGAGGAAGAACAGGTTAGGGAGGCAGGGACGAGCTGGACTGGTTTTGGGAAGCGGTAGGGGAGGGGAGATTTTGAAACTTGTGAAATCCACATTGATACCATTGGGCTGCAGGGTTCCCAAGCGGAATATGAGTTGCTGTTCCTGCAACCTTCGGGTGGTATCGTTGTGGCACTGTAGGAGGCCCAGGATGGACATGTCGTCTGAGGAATGGGGCATGAGAAAGGTGCAGGCTGTGTGGTGGAGATGTACCCAGAATGTTGTTAGAGAGGAAGCTCCAGGATTTATAAACCTCTAAACCTATGTTTTAATCTCTAGTTATGTTTAACTGGTCAGCAATTACCAGCTAACAGTCCTTTTGACATTCAGTGAAGCTATCTATTTATAACTATTAGTTACATAAATCAAAAGTCTTACCTAAATTAGCAGACTAAAATGATAAGAAAATAAATTGCAGATCAATGTAATATCTTTTTTATTCCCGACTTATTTCACTATTTATTCTAGATGATAGTTAAGAGAAAGCATTTTGATGTAGCTATTGGATTGTGTCTGGCATGACCCCAGTGTAGCTAATGTTGCATGTGCCTAATAATGGCTCATTCAAGTTAGTCTCATTAGCATATCACTGCTGGGAACTGTGGATATTCCCATGGCTGCACCAACAGCTTGCCAGCTGTGTCAGTGGACTGGCTTTGCCTGGCTTGGACAATTGCCTATCACCTCAGGTTAACCTGGAAGAGAAGTAGGCAGTCTCAATGTGGCTCTGGGTACAGCAGTTCTTCCTTTCTTAACTCCAGTTAAGGCAAGTGAAAAAAAAAATCTTTGAAATCTGCCTTTCGAGTGGCAGTCCCTGGTGGTCTACTTAAGGATTACTCCTCTGACTGCTGTGCACAAATAAACCTGATAGTATCACTCAATGCTGCATCTAACAATGTGAAAGAGTTCCAACGCGCACATAGTACTATTTTCCACTAATCTTAAGGGGGACTCCCATCGCAGGTATCTTTGTAACATAATCTCGCATCACCTCCTGGTGGAATTTCCTGAGTAATAATTTAGAGGGTATTACTATGGATCAAAGGAGCCATTCAATCTATATGGTACTCAGGTTAGCCCAGTGAATGTATTCCATCATGAAACTCTGCAGGACATCAAGAAATTGGTCCATCACATTCCACAGAGGAATTACTTTGGAAGGTGAGTTTCTTAACAAGATCTATTAATGTTGTGAGGAACAGAAAGATGCAAACACAGGAGGAAGATTAAAAAACAGGAGGATGCACTTGCAATGCAATGCACTAAAGTATCATTGCCACTTAAATCAGATATTAGCTTGTTTTAACCATTATAATTTAACAAGTATTCTCATGCATCATTACTGTTTTTAAATTAACACAGACTGAGCACATTCCGCCTTATGATGTGGTACCGTCCATGAGACCTGTTGTGTTGGTGGGCCCATCGTTGAAAGGTTATGAGGTAAGGAATACTGCTGGATTATAATCTGTCATCAGTCATGATGAAAAGAAAGTGGGGCAATTGATAATTTATGAGTGAAGCTCTATTTGCAAATTTGAAGATGACACTAAAATAGGTGGGAAAGTAAGTTGCAATGAGAAATAAATGGATTTGGATAGGTTGGGTGAATAGGCCAAAATTTGGAAGATGAAGTTTAATGTAGATAAGTGTGAGGTTATCCATTTTAGTCAAGGAATAAAAAGGCAACTCATTATCTAAATGGAGAGAAAGTTCAGAGTGCTTTTGTGCAGAAGGATCTGGGTGTCCTCCTACATGAACCTCAAAAAAACAAGAATGCAGGTACAGCAGGAAATAAAGAATGTTGGCATTTATTGCTAAAGAAAGAGTATTAAATTTAGGTAGTGATGCTGCAACTACACAAGGCATGAGTGAGACCATACCGGGAGTATTGCAAACAGTTCCCTTACTTGAAGAAGGATGTAGTCGTATTGGAGGCAGTTCAGTGGATTGATTCCAGAGATATAGGATATGTCTTATGAAGAGGGATTGAGCAGTTTAGGCCTGTACTCTCTGGAGTTTAGAAGGAGGAGGAAATCTAATTAAGGAGATTGGCAAAGTAGACATAAAGTGGATGTTTCTCTTGTGGGTGATCTACAATGAGAGATCATAATTTTCAGATAAGGGATAGCAGATTTAAAACAGAGATGAGGAGAAATTACTTCTCTCAAAGTGTTGTGAATCTATGGAATTCACCACCCCAGAGTGTGGTGCATGCTGGGACATTGGGGAAACTTAAGGAGGAGATAGACATTTTTAAGTGGTAAGATTAAAGGGTTATGGAGAGCAGATAGGAATACTAAGTTCAGGCCAAGATGCATTCAGCCACTATTGTATGGAATGGTGGACCAGGCTATAGAGTCGCTGAATTGCCCGCTCCTAGTTCTCTTTTTTTTCCACATAGCTGTGAACCGCTACCACAAATTTTTAATTGAGGCATTCATGCTGTGACTGGATAGTGGAATCATACAATCCCTACAGTGTGGAAAGAGACTATTCAGCCCATCAAATTTGCACTGACTCTCTGAAGAGTATCCCACACAGACCTACCTAAACCATAATCCCACATTTACCATGGCTAATCCACCAAGTCTACACGTCTTTGGGGGGAAGAAACGAGAGCAAATCCACACAGAGATGGAGAGGATGTGCAAACTCCACACAGTCATCCAAGGCTGAAATCAAACCTGGGTCCCTGGTGTTGAGAGTCAGCAGTGCTAACCACTGAGCCATCATGCCTGGTTCAGATGGACCTGAACCTGGCAGTCAGTTTAAACTGTGTATATCTGATTTACTCACAAATCTCTTGTGATCTTCATCTAATTCAGGGCTATTATGTTTTGGTTGCTCAGTGAAACTGCCCATAGTGTGTTTAACTTAATTTCTGTATTTTCTCCCACCTGAAAATGTCTGACTATTTCTTTGGATTCACGAAGATATTTTGTCAATCAACAACCCAAAACCACTGGTGGGTTCAGTTTCTGCAGTGTTTTAGCTGACCTTATCTACAACATCAGAAACAAAACCAGAAATTGCTGGAAAAGCTCAGCAGGTCTGGCAGCATTGTGGAGAGGAATCAGAGTTAACATTTCGGGACTAGTGACCCTTATGTTCTGAGGATGGGTCACTAGACCCGAAACATTAACTTTAATTTCTCTTCACAAATGTTGCCAGACCTGCTGAGCTTTTCCAGCAACTTTTGTTTATGTTTCGGATTTACATCATCCGCAGTTCTTTCTGTTCTTATTGACAAAATATCTGACACAGCAATGCTCATGAAAAATAGTGAGCACTTGTTCCTTTGGGTTATGCAGAATTTTGCTGCATCTTTATTATCTCCAAATTGGTGGGAAACATCACAATAACTTCAGATTGGGCTAAACTACTAATTCCAAATTAGTTGTGAAGTTGTATAACACCTGAAACAAAACAACAATTGAGATTGCAGTACATCATTTAATTTTCACAGACTGTTGATTTGTTCTATATGGTAAACATAACATTTTCGGTTTTAGTTTCTGTCATCTAATACCTCATAACATTGCATACTGTTATGGTCCAGACCAGACACACTCAAAATACTGAGTAGTCTACACCCTAGCTTTTTCTTATTTTAAAGGTAAATGTCAAATGCTGTGGCCCAGGTGCAATTCGATTGATCAAACTACTTGATGTTAAACAAAACACAATTTATTCATACACTATAGTTAAAATACAACAAAAGAAAGAAGGATTTAGAACAAAATACCTCTATTGGAAAACTTAACAAAATAATAGTTACAGTAACTATTACTAATTAACTGTTCCAATATAATAACATCCCATAAACACACACGTGGCAAAAGGAAAATTCAGAAAACAGATCTTGTCTCACATGTAATCCAGCAGCCTAGTAAGAGAGCCCCCAGCTTCTGGTTGTAATCGGGAGAGGGAAAAATGGGTTCCATTTCTTCAAGACCCCAACAGCAACTTCTGCTGAAAACTAAAATCTAAAAACTCCTGGTTCTGAAGATGGGAGCTTGACCACACCCATTCAGGCTGCTTTTATTGTTCTAGCTTTTACAAAAATCACCCAAGGCTTCACAAGTTGTTTATCTTCTCATAGATTGCTGGCACCTATCACCTAAGCTCCCTTTCTGTATGAAACCAGGACAAAGCATACCTCTTAAAGCCATAGCATCGTCACAATTACTGGGAGGGTGATGGCCTAGTGGTATTATCACTGGATTGTTTATCCAGATGACCCAGATAAAATTCTGGGGACCTGGGTTCGAATCCCGCCATGGCAGATGGTATAATTTGAATTCAGTAAATATCTGGAATTAACAGTCTAATGATGACCGTGAATCTATTGCTGATTGTTGGGGGGGAAAGCTCATCTGGTTCATTAACTGCTATCCTGACCTGGTCTGGCCTACTGTATTAATTCAATGTGGTGATAGCACTTCTGACTGGTTTGCTTTGAGGCAGCATGGTGGCTCAGTGGTTAGCCCTGCTGCCTCACAGCACCAGGGACCTGGGTTCAATTCTACCCTCGGGCAACTGTCAATGTGGAGCTTGTACATTCTCCCTGTGTCTGCTTGGATTTCCTCCAGGTGCTCTGGTTTCCTCCCACAGTTCAAAGATGTGCAGGCCAGGTGGATTGGCCATGCTAAATTGCCCATAATGTTCAGGGATGTGTAAATTAGGTGGGTTGTTAGAGGGATGGGTATGGGTGGGATGCTCTGAGAGTTGGTGTGGGCCTTGTTGGGCTGAAGGGCCTGTTTCCACACTGTCGGGATTCTATGATGATAACTGAAATAACTCCACAGAGACTGGTGTCCCATCACCAAGTCACACTTTATTTGCATGGGGGGAGTCCTTGACACTGCGCCAGCTCTGAGTGATGAGAATGCTTGACACTCCTGTTCTTATCTGCCAGCCAAGGCTCCCTTATTGGACCGGTTCCAACAACCCCAATCAGGGAACTCATTCTGTGAGATCCACCTGGCTGACGTTTTTACAATCTCTACAATAACTTGTGACCTGAGGATGTAAAGGTGTCCATCTACACCTGAACTGGGGTCTTGAAGCAAGACATTCTGTTGGAAGCTACTGTGTGTAACTGAACAGATTAGCATTAGCCCAAAGGCAGAAGCCCCTGCGTTTGTAATATATGTATGTATACTAGGAGCTGTAATATATATCCTTTGAATCTTTAAGTGCTGTGTTACCCACTTCTAATTGTTATGTTACTGGAGCTAACATATCTAATGCCTTATTAGATACAAATACCTTGTTGAAGCTAAAAGCTGACAACATGATCATAGATCACGATGGCATATCTTTTCTTTTGAAACTATTTTTACTGGAACTTTTTTTAAGCTATAAGCTTATCCCTAAGGTGACTCAAAGCCCATTGGAGTTTCAGCTCCCAGGAGCAAAATGAAGCTAAATGTTTGAATCATGATTATTCATGCACTTTGTCATATGGTGTAAGCAGATTAAACAACTTGTTACATTTTGGAATATGTATTTTCCTTGTTAAATAATTTTTGATGAAGGGGCACACAAATCTTTTTAAACAAGCAATTGTACAAATTTTTGATCAGGTATAGTTTTACAATAGAATACAAATTGCTAGGTTTTGCCATTTCGATGGATACTGAATAACTGAATTGAAATAGTAATTACAGAATTAACACATACTTTGGTTTTTAAAACACAGATATCCAGGTTTATACATTTATAAGTTGCAAAGGTATACCAAGGAATCCGAGGAACTTTGGGTTCAGTGGCCACAACCATGCTGGATGAGTGTAACCAGTGGAAGTGCAAGATCATTTACTGTGGACATGAGAAAAACCAGTCAGTATTTTCTGCCTTTTTGGTTGTCCACTGCACCACCAATTCTGGTGTCATCTGCAAACTTACTAACCATACCTCCTATGTTCACATCCAAATCATTTACGTAAAGGAAAAAATTGGTGCAAAACTAGAGCTGAGCTGCCTGGCTTTTGCAGGATGGCTGTCCAGCTCTCAGGGACCCCCTAGGGCCACATTTTGACATTTCTGCTAGCAATAAATTACAACTTATTACTTTTTCAAAGGAGTATGAGGGCATTCAAGTAACCTGGCTTTGAATTCCAAGCTACAGGGAGTTGCAGGTGGAAATCCATTTTACAAAACCGAGATAAAGTTACATCTTGAGGGATAAAATATAGATTCTTATTTGATTTGACACTCCGTGGGCCCTTGGATTTACCACAATAATGGGAACTGATTATTTTTTCCTGTGATAATTACAAAGTAAAATATTTGATCCTATAAATTTGCTTTAATATGGATGGAGTGAGAAGTTAGTTCTGAAGGTTTTAAGTTGAACAGTAATTTAAGGATTAATCTTTTGTGTCCCTCCAATTCAGATAGTGTACCATCTAAAATGCTTATTAATTAACTTTTAA